TATATGAGTACCAGTCGCCTCGCCGGCTGACGCCGGCGTGGCTCCTTCTGATACGGCCCGGCTGCGCCGGGCGGGCGCGGCTTCGCCGCGCGTGCTTTCTTTCACATATTTCTAGATTCAACTGATATCCCCCTTTTGTTCTGTACTCCATTTTTTCCGGTGTCTGAAGTACTCTTGAGCTATTTTACAGATTCTTCGTCTGACTCCGTCCACCTCGGAGCAGGCCACAATGTTTGTGCCCCACAATCCTCACCGACGACCCTCTCCTGACCTTAATCCACGTTTTTTTCCGGTCTTTGAAGTGCTCTGGGACAGTTTTAGGGAATTTTCGTCTGGCTCCGCCCACCTCGGAGCAGGCTCCGCCCACAATTTTTTTGCCCTACAATCTTAACCGACGACCCTCTGCTGACCTTGATCCACTTTTTTCCGGTCTTCGGGAGCGCTGGAACCGTTTTACAGACCTTTTTTGTCTGGCTCCGCCCACCTCGGAGCAGGCTCCGCCCACAATGTTTTTGCCCCACAATCCTCACCGACGACCCTCTGCTGACCTTGATCCACTTTTTTCCGGTCTTTGAAGTGCTCTGGGGCCGTTTTGCAGATCTTTTGTCTGACTCCGCCCACCTCGGAGCAGGCTCCGCCCACAATGTTTTTGCCCCACTCTCCACCGACGACCCCTGCCTGGCACTTGATCCACTTTTTCCGGTCTTTGAAGTGCTCTGGGACCGTTTTACAGACCTTTTTTGTCTGGCTCCGCCCACCTCGGAGCAGGCTCCGCCCACAATTGTTTAGCCCTCATTTTAACGACGACCCTCTGACTGAACTAATCCACTTTTTTTTTTCCGGTATTTGGAAGTGTTCTGGAACCGAGCTACAAACATTTAAAATGAATACCCTGCGATTTAGGGCAAGCCCCGCCCACTGTGGGCGGGTCTCAACACGCTTTGAGCGTGCCCTATATTCGCCAGATATTTACATTCTAAACTGAGCTTTGCGACTTCCAAACACTCTTCGCAACCGAAGGTTACTGAATTTTGCGAGAAGCACCGCCCACCTTGAGTACGCCCCGCCCATTTAGGGTGTACCTGCCACAGTTAGTCTGGCGACTCCTTACTAACCTTAGTCCCTTTTTTCCCCCATCTTTAAGCTGCTCCGGAAGCGAATTATGATTATTTTTCTGCGGAACCCCAAACTTTCGGCGAGTGCCCCGCCCACTGTGGGCGGGCTTCCCATAGGTCAAGTGTGCTTTTTATTTCTTGTCCCATGCCCTACCCATCCCCACCCTTGACTGGACCTCTCCAAGTCGTTCTTCAGGTCGAACCGAATTTCCGGACAGACAAACTTACAAACAAACAAACAAACTTACAAACAAACAAACAAACAAACAAACAAACAAACAATGAAATTATATATATGGGGTGATACTTAGGGGTACATAGACTGGTCGATGGTTGCAATGTACTTAACAGAACCGCGTGCCAGTAGCCTTGAGAGAAATTCGATTTCTGCCAATATAATATGTTTCCTTTTTCAATTTTAGCCTAATGACCGTTCCAGTTATGAAACTGGAGTCTGACGAAGTCGAGGAATACTGGAAGGAGCAGAAATACGCGGAGTTGCAAGTCATCTGTCAAGTGGATCTGGTCGAGCGAGGAAGGAAGATGAGGATGAGCGATGAGCGAAGGAAGGAAGAAAGGAAACCGAAGGAGCAGAAAGGTTTGCGGTTGACAGATATCCTATTGCAAGAAGACTTACTGCGACTAAACAGATCGCGGACGTATGTCTCGAGATGGATACTCACACTGTTTGCGTAGACTGCTATCAATTCTTAGCTTAAAACTCATTTAGGTTTCGTTGCACCGTCCTGTAACCAGATGCGGGTTGCAAAGTTGCAAAAGCGAATAGTGCGGAGCGAAATGACAAGGCTTACTGCAAATTGTGTATGAAAGTCTGGCCCCAGTCACTAATTCTACTCTGCGCTCACTTATTACCCGATCTTGGAATGCTCAAGCTTGCATGAGGACATCAGGAAACAGCACGGAATAGGCGCTATAAGCTTTGTGCATATACATGTTATCTTTGAACTGAACCAAGAAGACCTCGAAAAGGAGATTTTCCCACATAGTAACGGCGCTTTGCGCACGCCTATACTTATCGGCCACTTTGTATGACAGTGTTAAGTATATTTCAGCTTGTTTTCTAAGGCAATTGTCCAACAGAACTCACAGGATCACCCAAGGGAATGGGAATTTTGACAATTTCCAATGGACAACTTGCTTGCGTTGAGGCAGTGATCTCATAGACAACCATTTCATCTAAAATGTTCCGTAATGGTTCAGAATAGTCAATTTTTCCAATCAGAAGCACATATTTCTACAGCATTAACCGGTCATCTTTGCGAGTGCCACTCTGCGCACCAGCAAAACCGCTAGTGGGGTAAAAAGGTATTCACACAGGGAACAGCAAGGAAGTTGTCTGTTTAGCTTGATACTGTGATCCTGGTCCTATTTGTGCCAAAAAAAATCAGTTCGCATCATTATTTGTACTCCTACATTCGTTCTGCTATGCTTGCGACCATCAGTGGAGAAGTCATTTGTTCTGTGTTTCTCCGCTATATCCGAGCTTGACGGCATAGATACAAACTAAATGGAGGTTTGACACGATCTGGCCGATCACATTACGTACGTGAGCTGCTGTTTGTGGCTGCAAGCGAACTACGCCCACTCTCACTTTCCTCACAGCAATTCTCTTCTTTCATCGCGAAACCTTGAAGATAGACTGCTGAGAATGGTCCCTTCCACGAGGGAACGGATCTGCACTACAGAAGCGGGTCACTTTCCCCAGTCAACAATGCACGGGATGGTGTTGGAAGGTAATGATACCCTGGTGTTGTCTCCATACTCTGCCTTCGCTATACTCATGGACACTCAATCGACAATAAAATCGTGTAGAAAAACACGTGCTCAGCGGAGAGTGGACAATCAGACGTAAGGTGGCGCAGAAAGTAGCTCATCTTGGCTATGGTTAGGCAAACTGTGTGAGCTGTGGCGAGTCGCAAGGCCGAAACAGTATAGAGAGACGGCACTCCGCTATCGCTACCCTCCAGCCAGTTTCCGTGCACGTTTGAGAAAGAGGCACGCTACTGCAGTTGCAGACCCATTCAACTTACACATGGCAAGGACCACAGCTCTCGAAAGTAAGTATTAGTATACAGTTGTGAGCGCGACGTCAGCATACTGTCATCAAAGAGCTAAGCGACGAAGATGGGATGTGCGCCCTGGGGAAGTAGTATTGGTCTGCTCGAGCTGTAAATCACGGACAGGGTTCGGGATTAACATGAGCAGTTGGGAATATTGTAAAACTTGTGTACCTGCGATATCCTGTCAATTATTTTCCGGCCCATTCTGATAGCTCTCAGCTTTCCTGGGCCTAACTCCCCACATTAGGAGCCTCCCCTTCGCCTCCACTTATTCATTGAATTTTTTCAAGAGGATTAAGCTTTCTTATAACTATTGAGGAACTCACAGAAGAATGCGAACATAGAAGTCAAGTTGCGTCCGTTTCGGATTCCCGGTGATCCTGAAGTAATTTTTTCTGAATGACTTGAACTAATTTGAATGCCAACTCTATGTAAACTGCTGATTTATGTAGAGGTTGTATTCACTGCTGATTGAAACTCAAGCCTTTCCTCTCAGTAGTACATCGTGAAGAGAATTTTTCGCGCTATCTGAAGGAGTTATTATTGCCGTTTCACCACTGCCTTGACAAACCCCCTTTTCCCCCCAACCCTTTTTTAAGTATTTCAAAAAAGCGAGCAAACATTCGGACGCTATTTCTTCTGCAACTACAAAATTGAGGTCAATCCGCCAGCTCGCGCCAACTCGAAAATTAACAGTGTGTGAGAAGCATAGTGTTGAAGAAAGCACCGTTGCGACAACGGTTCGACAAATTCGTTCTGCAGAGACTCACGCCCTTGAGTCATGTGAAGATCGTCGCGGTTACGACCTTAAAAGCAAATCTGACGAGCGATTGAAGGCGTTTGTGGAGGCTGACCCATCCCCAAGAGATTGCGGAAAAGCTAGGCGTTGGCAAATCCACTGTTGCGGATG